CTCTTTCTGACACATGAGTGCTGCTCCATTCTGAAGTGGTATTATAATTCACGCTTTAGAGAAATGCAGGCTCACGAGCTTTATTCAAGTAGCTAGGAAGCTCCAGAGTGGTAGCTCATATCCAGGCCTGTTTCTAAAACCCTTACCTTGCCACCTCTCTGATCTTATAAACCTGTCTCCTTTATTTAAGAACTTGCTAATTGGTGAATACTTGCTTCCACAGATAAAGTAGACGGCGATCAGTAAACAAGATTTCTAGGTATTATTACTTTTTAGGAAGTGGAAATACAATTATAGACAACTTTTCCTCATAAATAACAAATATAGACACATTTCCTCATATAGACACATTTTATTAGCCCCACTTTGTGATCATCAAAAATGAGAATTTAGGCTTATTTTTATAGTTCTTTATAACACTAGTTTCTTTTATAGTTTCTAAAAACCTGAAGATGGTATCATACTGGATTGCCTTTCTTAATTAGAAAGCTAAATAGATCAAAACTAACCTTAAATTAGAGAAGAGACAGTATCAGGTAATCATCTTTACCAAATTAGATGATCTCAAAGCCCCCTTTAGCCTACAAGACTGTGCTTATCTACAGTCTCATCCATGAATGACTGTCCCCTCTCCTCTAGGACTCCCCGACCCTTTTGCAAAGATTGTTGTGGACGGATCTGGGCAGTGCCACTCGACGGACACTGTGAAAAACACATTGGATCCAAAGTGGAACCAGCACTATGATCTGTGAGTTGAATATTCTGTAAGCCATTTGGGGAACACCACGAATGTAGGTATCTAGTGTTTAAGAGAAAGATTTCATTTTTTTTGTTGTTTAAAGAGAGATTTCTACCTTCTGATTGAGAACAAAAGTGGATGGCCAAATGAATGCTGCCTAATTTTAGAATTCTTATACTCAGAAGTTCTTGCATTTGACATTTTCATAGATTTTACAGTTTGCTTCTATAACTGTGATCCTCAAACTCTCACCTGGCCATTTTAACAGAAACAAAAGGCCATAGTTCAGGTCCTCGATACGCTGCTGTTTTTTCAGTAAAACCATAAACTTGGTTGTAGAATTTCTACTTTAAAAATGCATTATTATTAGGCATATTTGTTTTGTAAATACATATTGTATTTTCAAATGATTTTTTGAATTTTGCTTTTTAGTACAAATATATTTTCTGCACGGGAAAATATAGTTTGGTATGTTTGAATATACATAAGTCTATGCACCATCAGACAATTTCTTATGTTCATTCATAAATGGATTATACTTAGAAAACCACTATTTGATATGCACCTATGTTTTCATGTCCCTGCTAAGAAATTTTTGTCAAAGTAATGCTGAATGATTATTGGTTTTTTATTACCACAAATTATACTGAATTTGGGTGGGATTTTTAGATTCTAAGACTCACATTCAGTTATACTGGGGTATGGGAGTGGCCTGGAAAGCGGTCTTCCTGAAAGCTCCACTCTGTGGTTGACTTGCACTGAGAGTAAGTGGGGGTTAATGTCTGCATTATTACCCATTAGTGTTCTTTGGGTGGATCGATGGGTTTTGTAAGTAAGCCCTCATTGCCAGTTAGCATTCAGTAGTAAATGTAACACTGGTAGGGATTCATGAACTGTTGTTCATTGGAACTAGTAAAATATAGTAAATCCCTGTTCTAAGATTATTGTCTTTATGGTGTTATCTACGTTTGCTTCTTACATAACTGGTTGTCGTTCTTTTCCCAGCCCATTGAATTTAGAGATGTATATTTATTGAGTGCGTGTTGTATGTGGCATATAGAACCAATATCATTTTAAAAGGATTCTTCTGTACTAACAAGTCAATCAGATAAAATCTCAATGGGCTATCATGATTCAGAAATACAATTAAAAATGAGTTTGCATGTTTTCAGATATGTTGGGAAAACTGATTCTATAACCATCAGCGTGTGGAACCACAAGAAAATTCACAAGAAGCAGGGAGCTGGCTTCCTGGGCTGTGTGCGGCTGCTCTCCAATGCCATCAGCAGATTAAAAGATACTGGATGTAAGAACCGAATGCTTTTCTGCCTCTTAATGCAACTGAAGAAGGCTTTTGAGGCATCGTTTTTCTTGTTTTTTTGTTTATTGTTTTTGTTTTGTTTTTTTTGAATACTGAATACAGAATTCCTGCCTTCCTCCCTAGTTAACATTTCCCTGGGTTAAGTTTTGAATTGTTTGTTTGCAGACCAGCGTTTGGATCTATGCAAACTAAATCCCTCAGATACTGATGCAGTTCGTGGCCAAATAGTGGGTAAGAACTTTCTCATCTGTATAAAGAGATGCTTTTACAGAACTTAACATTCAACTCTTCATCACTGAGAAAACACATATAGGCACTGACAGTGGTGACGTACTTCGAAGGACAAACCATATACGGGGGCCATCTCTTCAGTACTGAAAAGTTTCATCTTGTGTGGTTTTTATTTATCTAATTCCCTTCAACCTGTCATTCAAAGTCAAGATAAAATAACTAAGATACAAGAGATTTAGTGTTATTTTAAATATTTGAATCATCACATTAAGGATAGATGATAAGAATGGCGGCCACATATGCAAGAGTCGAGAAATGGTTTCTTGAGATCCATCATACATGTAAAAAGCAAAGATGATTTCTTCATATAATATGATTTTACAGAGTTAGGGGATTGAATTATTTAGAGTGAACAAAGAAAATGTGCCAATGTTACAGAGTGTTGACGGGCAGTATTCTGTTGCAAGTGATTTATCTGTTCAGTAGTTCATCTTCTTATCCACCCAGATTTTATTAGCATTTTAACGTCACTCTAAAATGCTGTGTGCTGATTATACGCATTGCAGGGAATCAAAACATAGTATTTCAGCAGCACAGCAGAGCGACTTATGACCCCAAATCTTTTAGGTACTGTCTTATGTAGACTTAACCCAAGATAAAGAGCAGTGGATATACATCCTGAAAACTATCATAATTATTAAGTTCTCACTTAATGCTTTTCTGTTTGTGATTTCTTCTTTTCTTTGTGGAGGGATGTGCGTGGGGAAAAACGAAACCTGGGAGCAACTTTATAAATGTCTTTGTTCATAGTAGGGACCGAGAATAAATATTTAGTTCATCTGGACTTTGCAAATACTGAAAGTGGTGCTCTCTGTGTCCTTATTAAACATAGGTCAAAATCTTCTTAAAAGATGAGGTAACTTAGAGGAAGTGAATTTGTGTTCTGTTATGTTTATGGAGAGCACAAAAAACACAACAGCTCTTTCTGCTCCGCATTTACAAGGAATGTTCCAGGCGGTATGTGGTGGTATGCAGCTACTGGAATAAAATGCTTCATACTTGAAAGTATAGGAATATATGTTTGTATGTATACGTACACGCCTCACTTTTACAAATAATGTACGTAAATTCTGCATTCGCAATGGCTCACTGTATTACAATTGTATAAAATACCACTGGATTTTAATGCAAGATGTTCTTTTCTGTTTTAGTCAGCTTACAGACGCGAGACAGAATAGGCACTGGAGGGTCTGTGGTAGACTGCAGAGGACTGTTAGAAAACGAAGGGTACGTATCCCCACGGTAATGCCTGCTGCATCTCTGCTGTCTTGGGCTCCCACTCTAGATGAAAGTATCCATCTCCCCTTTTTACTGTGCTGAATGCTTGAGATGCAGGAAAGGACTTTGAGATAAAACTGGGATCCTGTGTCCTTATTTACAAAAGAAGCTGTAAGACTAGTGGAGTTGTGACCCCCAAAGACTCAGGATCCAATTTAAAAAAGTTCCCACTGGCCAAAATTGGAACGGTTTTGAGCATCAGTAAGAATTTTAAGTGCAATGGATTGAAATGTATCAAATATATTTAAAAATTAACATTATGTATTTATAATGAGACAGGGGAAAAAACCCTAAAACGCTAAAAAAAAAAAACTCAAAAATTCTCATTGGTCACTATCACAATTTTGTGATCCTCAATGAGCTAATGAAGCCATGTGATAATCATTATTAGTTATTAACAATATCACAAAAGAGATAGAATCTGATATGAACATACCTCTTGGAAATCTAGGGGACAGAAGGATGTGTCCCAACCCAAGGGAACGCAACAAGCACCACCTAGAAGAGGGGACACTCTTAGAGTGTAGAAGACACAGCCCAATGTTTTCACAGATGCATTGCTAGAAAAATAAATAAATCACAGGAAGAACGGTAACCTAGAAATTAACAATAAAAGAAACTTAAGAGACATACCTACTAAATGCAGTGTGTGAACCTCATTTTGGATCCTGACAGACAATTGACTGGGGAAATTGTACACTGACTGGTATTTGATGACATTTTAAAAATTAATGCACATTTTTTAGTCATAATGGAAAAAGTCCTTATATTCTAGAAATATATGCTAAAATATTTAAGGATGAAATGGGAAATTGTCAGGATTGGTATCAGAATAGTTCAGTGGAGAGGAGGAATTGGAAGAGTAGCCACAAGACAGTCGTATTGTAGCTGGGTGATGAGTCTGGGGGATTCATCTCCTAATTTGTGGGTATATTTGAAATTTCTCGATGTAAAATGTTTTTAAAAAGTACTTATAAGGGAAAATAGCCTATTAAGTAAATTGTCTTCAAAATTGTTCAGGGCTGAAGATTTATGTTAAAGAGTACTTATAGTCATTGCAGTGTTTTATGTAACCAGGAGTTCTGTCATAGAGGGGGGAAAAAAAACAAGGAAAATGGAGGATTTAGATTTGATTTTAAATCAAAAAAAATCAAATCTCATTTCATGAGCTCCTTAGAGTGCAAGGTGAGTTTCGTCTATCACTCAGCTCCACCCAAAGATGAAATCCCTCTGGTGGCCTTGATGGCACTTTATATATAGCTCCCTTTGGCCACTTGTTCCTCATGAAAAAGTCTTTCTATTTAAATAGGAAAAGATGAATTTTATGAAACTACTAATTTATGGGATACTGTATCTTACAAGCAAAGTGAAATAAACAGTTGTGAGAGTATCACGTTGAGTTTCAGGTGCTTGTCTTTGACTGCCGTGCCCATGCGTGCCGTGCTCTTCCACCCCTTTTAGCACCGTGTATGAAGACTTGGGGCCTGGAAGGCCACTCAGCTGCTTCATGGAGGAGCCAGCCCCTTACACAGACAGTACCGGTGCTGCTGCTGGCGGAGGGAACTGCAGATTTGGGGACTCCCCAGGTCAAGATCAAAGACTTCAGGCACAGCGACTTCGAAATCCTGAGGTCCGAGGGTCACTCCAGACGCCTCAGAACCGACCACATGGCCACCAGTCACCAGAACTGCCCGAAGGCTATGGTGAGAGAATTCACCCTGCTATCCTGAATGCGATCTACAATGTTTCAGAGGGCTTTATCTTTTCAACCTTGTTTAGTACCTTATACATGTCCCAGCTGCTAATATTTGCAGAGCTGTGCCATACAATGGTTGTGTCAATGTAAAGACAAGTAACCAGAAAAAGACGGTGATAATCTTGCTCGTCACAAATTTGTCGGCAACTGTTCCAATCTCTTTAGCAACTGTGTGAAAATTTTAAGCAAATGAATATCGAAGAAAATCAAGGTAGTATGTGGGTCAGATGAGGGTATTTGTTGTGCTCTGTGATTTGAATGAGGGAAGGACAGTATCAGATAAGAGTGAAAGGAAGGGATCATTTGACAATCACCGAGGGAGAACCTAATGAAGGAGAATAACATTTAAATGGCAGATCATACCGGAAGGGAAGAGCATGTGGATGTGATAGAGGTCAGGCTAAGGTCGGTCCTGAGATTGTGGACACACAAATAGCATCTCATCCAGGGCCGTGGCTGAGGAAGGAGAGCACTGCCTCTCCGTGGGTGAACAGGAAACGGGGAGATAGGCTCAAACATCTGCAAAGGGCTTGCTTGTGACCTGTGGAAGTCAGGCAGAAATTATCCATTATCCTTTCAAATCCATGATGATGCTTTTCATTTTATAGAATGTTGACAAGAAGCTTAGACTTTGTGCTTGGAGGATTGGTTGAAAACTGTCCTTAAACTCAAATTTAACTAATTGCATCCCCTAATTTCTGTACAGAACAAAGAACAACAGTGCAGGGGCAAGTTTACTTTTTGCACACGCAGACGGGAGTTAGCACGTGGCACGACCCCAGAATACCAAGGTAGGTGTGTCTATACTGCGCACCAACTCCAGTTTTCTAGCAGTTGCCTGGACCCCCTGACTGGGTGAGAAAGCCCCTGAGGTTAGAAGAGTGGCAGCTTAGAGAGGATGCTGTCACAGGGTTCTAAACTCAGGCTCTCTGGGTGAGAGTCCCAGCTCTGCCGCCATTTCCAAACTGTCCACTTGCCAAATCAGCTGCTGGGACATAAGGGTCCTTTAGAAAGCAATCCTGTGTCTCGAAGTTAAGATCACATGACCAGAAAAGGCCCTCCTCATGCCTAGATTGAATCAAATGTGCTCTGATTTGAAAAGCCAATAAATCCTCAAGCTGTGTTGCTCTCATTTTAAACTAAAAATACTGATGGATGAAATTATATGATATCTGAGATTTGCTCCAAATAATTGGGGTGGGAGCAGTGAATAGGGGTATATTTGAAACAGGCTGACAATGACTTGATAATTGTTGAAGATGGTTATTCATAATGGTCTCTCTACTTTTTTATATGCTTAAAATTTTCCATAATAAAGAGTTAAAAAGGAAATATAAAGACTCTATTACCCTTTCTCTCTTCTACTTTACTGTCCCTATTGCCTCAGTCCCTTGGGGACCATTCCTGGGGGAGATGAAGCTTTTCTATACGAATTCCTTCTACAAGGCCATACATCTGAGCCCAGGTCAGAGAGACCCCACCCCCACCCCACCCTGTAACAGTTATGTTTCTTTTTTTCTTTGCTTTGCTTTTTTTAAATTTTTTTGTTTTAGAATAGCATTACTACCTAACATTTGTTTAGTAATGCTCATTTCCTTTTTATTCGTAATTTGTTTTATCTGAGAACAAGCTTCCTGTCTTTGATTTTCCAAGTCTATGTTAAATTTACGATTCACTATCTATAATTAGAATGGAAATTTTACTTGCAAATGGATAAGGTGTCTCTTTAGTACCACTGTAAGAAATGTCAGGCTTTTGTGCTAATTAGAAAAGCATCTTGGTCAATAATGCTGTGCTCCCATATGACTGTGGATTATATTGAAGTAATTAATCAAAAGGTTGGAATTAGAAACACTTATTTAACAAAGCCAACTAAAAAATGAGAATGCCTCTTTCCAGTGCAGCTGTTAGAATCGTGAGATTTCGAATGCACGTTAATACATCCCTGTCAGCTTTAAAAAACTTGTGCCATCCGGAGGCTCTTCAATGAAGCAACCTTTCTGACTTTGAGCATTTCATTTAACCTGTGGGTTCAGATAGTTTTCTGGCAACATTCAGATATTTCCTACTATTTTGGCCTTTTTTGGTCTAAGAAATGGTATTCCCTGGGTAGACCATGTTCCTTGTCATGGTCATAGGCTCTGAAAATCTGTTGGATTTTGCTGCCACTTGCAGCACAGAGGCCTGGACTCAGTGAGAGTTTGGCGTAAGTAGCACCAAGACTGTCCCTCTTAGGAGAACTGGGACATGGTGCATTGATAAGGGACTCCTGTGGCTCCTAATGCTGAAGTTTTGGTCTTACGACTCCGTACTCAGATTGACAAACCTGTCTGTATCTTCCGTTTTGGTAGAGACCTTAACAGTGTGAACTGTGATGAACTTGGACCACTGCCACCAGGCTGGGAAGTCAGAAGTACCGTTTCTGGGAGAATATATTTTGTAGATCATAATAACCGAACAACCCAGTTTACAGACCCAAGGTTACACCACATCATGAAGTAAGACTTTTACAAAATGTTGACCTCTTGCATTTATCATTGAATGTTTCCTATTAATTTTTTTCTTAGTTTATCTACTGCGTTGTTAATGGAGAATAAGCATAAGCAGAACATGGTAAATTTTGGGTGGACAGTTGCACGTTTTAAACTCTCAAGTCACTGTTAGCAGCACTGAAGCTGTGTGTCATTGCCACCTTTTTCTTGGCTGCAGCCGAAATTAGTCACAGAGATAGCAATATTTGGCTCGTTAACAAAGCTTCCCCATGCAGCACTGGGGTGAAATGTGTGGACCCTAGACTGAGACGCACACAGTAAATGAGGTTCTTCCTTAGTGCCCCCTCATCCCTGTCTAGAAAAGCCACCGCAGTCAGTAGTGCCACTCACTGGAGCCTTTTCCTGTGCCTGTCATTCCTGGATAATGGGGTTATCTTGGCTCCCACACTCAGTGTTCTGGGTTTGTCACGTTCTCAGGACATAGGAGCTCCCCGGGGCTCTCTTCATTGACAACTGATGTTAATGGCAAAACTTGAACAAAACAAATGCTACTTTATCCCTCTACTCATCCTAGACCTTATATTTTACTGGAATTTTGCTCTTAATGAGCAGGCTTAGAAATCTGTTGGTTCTGGAAATGAATGGTTACTGTTCAATTTCACTTGAGTCGTTTGCTCTTGTGTATATATAGTGCCCTCCACTATAATCTGCTTTAAAAATGTTTCATGTCAACTTCATCTAATTCTAATCTAATGCTAAGGCACATCTAATAGTGCATTGGTCAATCTCAGATGCATACTAGATGTGTGATATATGCTAGCAATTGCTGTTTTTATTTATAGCAATGACAGCGTATGAGCCAAGTTGTTGCTTAAAAGTCATGCAGCTCTTTATCCTGTCTATATTTAGGCTCATGGTGGCCACTAGCAATTTTTACATATCCCTGTCGTCAGAGAAAACGATGTCTACTTGAAGTTCTATGTAATAGACTCTCTTCCCAGTCCCTTGGGTATGGGGGGCATAGCTTGCAGCTCCCTTGGCCGCTACTTTTGGAGTGACTTTGTTGTTTCTGTCCTTCTCAAGTCACCAGTGCCAACTAAAGGAGCCCAGCCAGCCGCTGCCATTGCCCAGTGAGGGCTCCGTGGAAGACGAGGAGCTTCCTGCCCAGAGATACGAAAGAGATTTAGTCCAGAAACTAAAGGTCCTCAGACATGAACTTTCACTTCAGCAGCCCCAGGCTGGTCATTGCCGTATCGAAGTATCCAGAGAAGAAATATTTGAGGTAGGAATTTAGCGCAGCTAATGGTCAGGCATGGCCTCTGCGTCCATCTTAGAACAAACAAGGCGATTCAGCCAAAAGTGTGGCCTCCTGGTAACCCCTTTTAACCCCCTTTGTTTTAAGTTTGTTAAACTGCTCTGGAAGTAGTTTCTACGAGCTCTTCCTTCCGTCTGGTGTTTCAGGTATTGGTTTTATTACTCAGTGAGATGTAGGCGTTTATCAGGACCAGTGTCCACGTCAAGAGTGGGAACTGTATTTCTTTCTGTGGTGAAAATGTAAAAACTTAGATGGTTTCTGAGGTGAAAACCTAGAGATTTACAGAAAGTTAAACTAAATATTGTAGATCCCCTTCTCTGCTTACACACATCATACATTCGTGCAGTCTGCACGATCTCCTCAGGACCAGTCACTCTGCCTGCTGTGGCCTTACTGGAATTTGATCGGATGGCACTACCTCCTCAGAGAAGCTTAGTGGCCAAGTGGCCACCTTGTTGTCTCTTCGGGAATAGGAAGCTCAATGCTTCCTGGGAAAGGCGTTATCCCTTACACTGCCCGCGCTGCGATATCTGGGTCTCTAAAGAAGCAGGACCCTCTTATAGACAGGGCCCTTTTCTCAAGGAAGGTGATCATAAGGTGAACTCTCACCTGTGTGTGGGCCATGGCCCACTCGCCTTTGTGGAATCACTGGCTGGCGTGACCAAATGAGACTGGGTAAGAACTGAACACATTTCTGCTGAGTGCGGCCCCCAAGGAGGACCATGGCAGCCGCTGCAGGGAGCCCAGTGCCCTGGAAACAGCGAAGGGCACTGAAGAAGCTCCCAGGGCCACACTTGACCCGCCCGTGCATCCTCTATCGGACGAGGGGATCAGCAAACGTGCCATTTTGTCCATTGAGCAGTTGTAAATGGTTGCCAGGGTTAGAAAAGAGCTGAATTATTGACATTTTGCTGCCAGATCATTTCCACTCAACCTCTTCCTTCCCTCTTGGGACGGTGGAGTTTGAATTACATTAAATTTAAAACATGAAAATGTTCTTAAGTGCCTTATCAGTGAAAATACCTATAAACACTTAGCTAGTTCCACTCAAAATGCTGAATCTGAGGGAGTATCAGGCTGACCACGTGATTTCTATGTGTTGGGTAAGCTACTTTAGATCTCACGTAAACCCCTTTTTGACTCCGTGGAAGTCTTGTGATTTTTCACTTGATATAAAGACGCCCCAAATTCTTTTACTATTCAGACTTTCTAGTGATGTCTTCATATTGGTTAAAATAAATCAAATGTTTATAGGACACACTTAAATTAATTTGTGTAGAAACAATCAACTCTATTGAGGACGTTTGTTCTTAAGTCATTAGTGATTATGCTAAAAATAAATGTTTCCTTTAGGTACGGTATTTATTATTACCTGGCATGTGTTTGTTTTGTTGTGGTTTCTGAGTGAGAAGCAGTGGGAAAAAAGATGGTAGAAACAGCAATGTGCTAGTATGCCAGATAAACATTCTGAATAGGGACCAGACAGAACTGGGATCGGAGTGAATGCTTATTTTGAATCAGACTCCATTATCAATAACCTTTTATCTTTTTATAAGTTTAAGAAATGTTCTTCCCTGAAACTGTCATTTTGATATGTAGGAGTCTTATCGCCAGATAATGAAGATGCGCCCAAAGGACTTGAAAAAACGACTGATGGTGAAATTCCGTGGAGAAGAGGGTTTGGATTATGGTGGAGTGGCAAGGTGAGATGCTAATCGATTTACCCTTTCTGCCGCATAGATGTCAGCACGACTGTAATAAGCTATTTACAGAGAGAAGCTGTTTACCACTTTCTGCTGCTTGTCTTGGAGCAGTGGGGACTTCAAGTGCTGCCTTCACTGAGCTTTCTTAGAATAGGAATTCCTAAGCACATGTGCACACTAGCATCTTGCTATAACCTAGCAGAATGTACATGACCGTCACCATTAATTTTCTTTTGTAAAGTGAATATTAACTTTTAAACTTACCCCCTTGTTAATCTGACATGACTGAACCTGAACCAGGAACGACCTGCTCCTGAAATTAATAAGAGAGGCAGCCTTGCTTTTCTTATTAGAGGACTTCCGGGGATGGGAGAAAGGCACAAGTTGCATTTGTGTCAAAGGAATTTTGTAAAATGGCATTTTGTTCAAAATAACTCATGCAAAGGATTTTTTAAATGGCATGTAATAATGAAAAGCTACTATTTCTTGTCTAAACCTCATTTCACCTTCGAGATAACTGTGTGTGTGTGTGTGTTAACTGTTTCTTCTAATAGTATCTGAATTCTATCAATTTGGCAATAGAAAGATACATATCTATTGATTTCATGATTTGTGGTCATAGACACAGATAGACTGGATAATGGTTGTGGTGAAGACCTAATTTAACACTCTCACTTCCCAGTCTAGTAATATCAATATGTTTAGATCGTCTATCACTGTCTTTGTAACTTTACATAACGTGTTTTCACCATTATTTTTTGGTTTGTAAACTGGAGACATTATCTCTTGACCTCTCTTTTTCATAAAAGGATAGTAATACTGACCTCTCCTTCTGTGTTCCTTCTACCGTCTCCCTCTCACATTGTCATCTGTAATATTACTTGTATATTGTCAGGGTCGAAGGTTTATATTCTGTTCTGTATCCAAAATTAAGTCTCCTGTGCTTGACTACCTATTTTTAAGAGTTAAAAATCAGTACATCATTTATATTGTTATGACAATATAAATTTCACTGAGTTCTTAAGTGGTATCTGTAATTTCTCCTTTGGAACAGATTTTACTTTTTCCAAGAATTTCTTTTTCTTCTTTTTAAACCAGGCTCTATTGCCCCGTTAAACTTCATCTTCACCTTCCCCCACCCATCCCCTGACCTCCATGGATCTCCCTCATGGAAACTGTCCAGCCAGATAATTCTCTAGGCCTTTCGCACGGTTGTCATCATGGGACTTCACTGTTTTCCTGGGTTAGAGCCGTTTGTGGATCCCATACTTTCTTCTTTCTTGATTTACCCCCTTGTGTTACTAGAGTGTATCTTCAAGTAGCTTTCTTAGAAAGGGTGGTGTGGGAGGTGAATTTTCCAAGATCTTGTGTCTGAAAATGTCTTTTAATTTACACTCTGACTGACAGTTTGGCTTTTTATAGACTTCTGGGAAGAAAATAACTTCCACTCAGAACTTCGAAGGCACTGCCGTACTGCCCCCCAGCACCCTGGATCACTGAACAGTGGTCTGATGACAGCCTAATTTCAGTCACTTCTCCAGAAGTTATTTGATCCCCTCCAGGGCCACTCATCATCTAGAGATTCTACCACCTTTTTTCTGGTTTTCATCTCCCTCTGGTCCTCGCTTCCTCCTTACTCGTGGTCCACCATCACAATCACCCTTGCTCCTCTTT